ACTCCTGACCTCAGGTGATCCACCTGCCTCAGCCTCCCAAAGTGCTGGGATTACAGGTGTGAGCCACCACGCCCAGCCCACATCTCACTTTTCACGTGGGAAACGTAGAGGCAACTGCAAACTATCTCACAAGGGACAGTCAAATGGTGTATGGAGAACCCTGAGTAATTTTTGAGGGAAGAAGCTTTGAAAACCTAGGGGATTTCTCATCCTCTAGAGTAATTACTCCTCATGAAAAAATTTTTGGAAAGGGCATCTGTTGAACTTAGTACTTCACTTGTAATTTTGTCTGTGTGTGTGTGGTCTAGCAGCAGTTATAATAACTCCACACCCCACCATTTGTCCTTTCCTACGAACATAGGGTAAAACCTACCCCTTCGTTTGTCCATTGTGTGGCTCATTTATATTGAAAGTGCCAGCTGAGTTTGTTAAAGGACATAATTTGAGATTGACTGGGTTACATTTCAGTCATCAAGCCTCTTTGATTAGCATATGTCATTCATCTAGTTTCCAGGTGTCTATCATGGTACTGTAAACGTGCTCAAAACGACCTGAAGACTAATAACACTTCTTTGTGGTCTCTCTGGTTTGTGTTAGAGTGAAGTGGTCTATTTTTTATTATATGTAAGGTCTGCAAATTCTAGTTGTGCTTTCATAAGCATTAGGACAGTGGTTGCTTTTGTTTTTGTCTGTAAAAGTTATTTTTGGGTTTCTGGAAGTGTATAAGGAAAAATATGGGAAGCTAGTATTAAATGATTAAATGCCTACTAAATGCCTGGTTCTGTTCTAGCCACATGTATTATTTAATCATCACAAAAACATGTGAGCAAACTGAGCCTCCCTAAGTAATTAGGCTTAGAGAAATTGAATAATTCCTAAATGTTTACACAACTAGCGAGTAGCAAAAACTGTCGTTATCTCAAGAGTCTGCACTATTCAAAGTAGCATGGGTTCTTAGCTTAAAAACAAACTTGTTTGTGATATATAGTAAACTTTTCCCCCCCAGACTATTTTTTTAGGGCCCCAAAGAGGTTTTGTTTTATCTTCTTTAAGGAACATAGATCATGATGTCCTCTGCTTTTGTAAGTCCCTCTGTAATCTGAGCCTGATGAGCCCTGAGTAATAGCAGTAAAGCCATCACCGCTACCACCAGCTTTGAAAACAGGAGCTGACATCCTTTGAGCATGAACCATGTACTGGATATTGTTTGTTTTTATCAATTTGTGTATATTAACCTGTTTGATGCTCAAAATAACTCCATGAGGTGTGCATACTTCTATCATTTCTATTTTGTAAATGACAAACGTGGGACACATGTTTAGAGTTAAGTAACCCAAATCAAACAATAAATTAGTAGTAGAGCTGAGATGTGAATCCATGTGCTCAGGATAACCTGCATTATTGTCTGCAATACCATACTGTATTGTCTACAATACCATACTTCTTCAGTAAACAATTCATGAGTTGGAAATGAATAAAACTAATTCTGATTAAGTTAAGCTGAAAGGGGATTTATTAGGAAGACATAAAGGCACTCACTGAATAAGTATGAAGCCTTGCTTGGAAAAAAAACAGGACCATGAGAGAATAAGGACCAGGGATGTACGCAGCCAGATTGTACCACAGGAAGAGTTTGGTCCCAGGGCCATTGCTGGTGCTGCTCCTACTGGCCAGCACAGGTACCACACTGTTGACTGGTGGCTGGCCCTTGGGACACTGGACTTTTGGATCTCTTGCTATTGCTGATGCCACAATAATGAAGAAAATATCTATTCTTTCATCTTTGCCTCACTCTAAGATTCAAAGACCTGGGCAGAAGCAGTCACTTGATAGAGCCACGTCACATTTAAAAAAGACCAGATTTGGGGCTGGGCACAGTGGCTAAACCCTGTAGTCTCATCATTTTGGGAGGCCAAGGCGGACAGATCACGAGGTCAAGAGATTGCGACCATCCTGGCCAACCTGTTGAAACCCCGTCTCTACTGAAAAAACAAAAATTAGCTGGGGGCATGGTGGCTAGTACCTGTAGTCCCAGCTACTCAGGAGGCTGAGGCAGGAGAATCACTTGAACCTGAAAGGCGGAGGTTGCAGCGAGCCAAGATTATACCACTGTACTCCAGCCTGGTGACAAAGTGAGACTCTGTCTCAAAAAAAAAAAAAAAAGACTAGATTTGGTATAACTTTTGATTTAATTGTTCTAGTATATTTTGGGTGTGTAACAGCAAGAAATGACAACTTCCCACCTGTTGAACCTTAAGGATTAAGATGTTTTCTCAGTAAAACTTTCTTCTGTTATGTAGTAAAATAGATCAGTAAAATGATTTTAGAAATTGGCAGTTAAAGAATGAGAAGGCATTGGTTGCATATTTGTAAATCCAGTTATGCTCTAAGTGACCACTTTTGGCTCATTTTGTTTGGATCATGGATTAAAGAGCATAGCCTCCAAATGACTAAGTCATAAAATACCTCTGGTTTTCCTGGTTAATTTTAACTATACTTCAGGAAATTCTCTGGGCATCAGAAGGTAGTACTCTAGAAAAAGGATGGTGTTTTTTTTGTTTACAAGTATGGTTGCAATCAGTGTTTTAAGAATTTGTTTTACAGGCCAAAGTTAACTTTAACAACTGCTGTAATAAAATACTTTCAAGCCTTGTCTGATGGCCCTCTGATTGTAAGCACTAATCCATACAACAGAATTTGGGTTCAGTACAAGGAAGTGTGGGTCAGGCCATGAAATAGGATTTAACTTTTAGAACATAACGCTTAATGGAAATTCATTTTACTAGAATTCTGAACTTAATATAATTAAACTTTTTGAGTGCTTGTAACGTCAGGCAGTACGCAAAGTACTTTGTATCTCTCTCTCTTAATCCAACTAACTCTGTAAATATTATTGATACTTTAAGGATGGAACTGATACGGAGAGAAATAAATTTGCCTAAGGTCTCACAGAAAATGATGGAGTTAGGTTTTAAATCTGCATTTGTCTGACTCTAAATCCTGCTTTTAATGGCAACACTGTATTGTGGAAGAAAATCATTAATTAAATCACAAGTTAACTTGGAATAGCATTCTTGGATTTTTAGATCAGGAGATTTCCTTGTCACTTGTTCTTACAGAACAAGTTTCTTTTTTTAGATTCGGTAACTCAAGAAATGTCATTCCATCCAATTCATTCTCTGAGTTAAAAGAATATAAATTTTTATTGCTACATAGTCTATTACTATTTCTAACATTCTTACACAGGCTGTCATATTGGAGGCAGGCATAAGTAGGATGATTTTCTCCCAGGTTAGGTGGACGGGCAGGGTAAGGTAGGTGGTGTGGCACCTCAGATCATCCCTAGTACTCAGAACTGCACGTTACTAAGGATGTGTGAAAATCCCCTGTTCTTTATTGAAGAACCTTCTGTGGGTACCGTCTCTCAGTGGTAACAAACTTTCTAAACTTACTGAGCATCTTGGAATAGAATATTTGCTTTTGTTTCTCTTCATTTTTCACTTCTGAGCTTGAAGTTAAATTCATGTTTTCTAACATTGAGAAGACAAGTTTTATTTGGTTGTTACAGCTCTTGTGGTTTTAACTGAGTTTGTTAACTGAGGCTAATTATGCATCTTTTTAATGGACTTTAGTCAACCTATGCTTTACAGAACTCTCATTTTAGCTTTAAGAAATGCTTATCCCAACGCTTATTGTGAATGTTTCCCCCCTGCTTGGTTTGTGCTCATAAAACTACTTCCGGCCGGGCGGAGTGGCTCACGCCTGTAATCCCAGCACTTTGGGAGGCTTAGGTGGGTGGATCATGAGGTCAAGAGATTGAGACCATCCTGGCCAACATAATGAAACCCCGTCTCTAACTAAAATACAACAATTAGCTGGGTGTGGTGGCATGTGCCTGTAGTCCCAGCTACTCAGGAGGCTGAGGCAGGAGAATTGCTTGAAGCCAGGAGGCCCAGGCTGCAGTGAGCCGAAATTGCACCACTGCACTCCAGCCTGGCACCTGGTGAAAGAGTGAGACTCTGTCTCAAAAAAAACAAAAAGAAAAGCAAACCCAAAAAACTACTTCCTAATGAAAGATACTCAAATACAAAGGAAAGAAAAAGCCTTTGTCCTAATACCATAGCAGTAGCCTGAGTTTAAGAAATGAGAGTGGCCAGCCTGATACAGGGTAAAAGCCAAAATTCACTGGTGTCATTGACAAAAGACTTAAATAATTTTTAAATATTTAATACCCATGATTTTGGTCTAATTTGCTTACTAAAATCCTGTTACCTTTCATATAAATTGTTACCTTGATTATGAAATATGAAATAAATCTGGGCACAATGTGGAACCCTCCAAAGCCAGATGTGGTACTGGGGTCATGGGGTCAGGGGATATTAGAATCAAGGCAGCATCTCTGAGCTTCCCTAAAGATGGCTTTGTGTACATGTGTCCAACACTACCTGGCCAGGCCCAACATTTTTTAGTCAGATATATAGATACACTCTGGCAGGTAGTGGGGCAAGCTGGCATGTCTTTGTTGTCCTTAACATAACCCTCAAGAAAGATGTACTTTATTATATTTCAAACAAAGAACCTATTACTTATGAATGGAAGAATTAATAAGAACCTAAGATTTTTTTTTATTACTTTGCAAAGTGGTACACCAGTGTACGTATGGTAGCTACATTTGTGTTTTGTTGGAAGCAACCATCATATGGACGACAGAAATTATTTATAATTTGCATGTCATTATCATGATATTTAAAAAGTCTATGTCTCTGGACCTCAGGCCAGGGCTTAGAAACGGTTTCATGGTAGCAAACTAAGCATTCCCTGTAACAGGATGTGAACTGCAACAGAATGCTCCAGGCAATGTTAAATTGGGGTGATTTTTAGAAAGTGACAAATGTTTTATGTTTCCTAAATGTGAAATGGGTTCTACCAGTTCTAAACGGCTGCCAACTTATGTTATCACTTGCCTGCTTTGTAACTGCCTCAATTATTTTCTTCCCCAGCCCTGTATGATGAGATTCGTCAGTTTCGCAAGGCCTGTGGGGAGGCTCATCTTAAAACTATATTAGCAACAGGAGAACTTGGATCTCTTACTAATGTCTACAAAGCCAGTATGATAGCAATGATGGCAGGTAAGTGTTTTATTTTCATACTATGTTTTCTATTGAATTGATGTTTTTAGGAGAAATTAATTATGTGAAAGCATTTAGCTATTAAACATGTTAACCACTTGGAATTTTCTTGTGGGAGGAATCAGATAACTTTGTAAAAACACATTCAATGTGAAGTGGTCAAAGACGCCTGGCTTTCTTCCACATTTTTTTTTTTTTTTTGGGTGGCATTTCATTGCTGCACTATGCTTATAAGGCAGTAGATGGCTCTCTTGTTAGTGAATTGCCTTCTGTTGTATTCTTTGATTATTCACTCATCAACATATGTTAGACAGAAATTTCTTTAACTCTGACTTCTCTCTGAATTTAAGTTTTTCATTTATCTTGGAGATATGTATCCATACTCTCTGAGGCAGGCTCTGCCTTTGTGTTAGTTTTTTAAAATTTAGTGCAGTATCATTGTTTTTTATACTTTCAAATATGAGTTGACTTATTCTTTATCTCTGTGAACAGCAGGTCTTTCCATTTAGACATCCAAGTTTGCAGCCTAGGAGTCATGCTTGGTTCTTTCTTTTTCTCACCTTCATATAAATCAGTGAAGTCTTGAGAGTTCTCTCCAGACCTCTTTGCTGTGTCTGACACATCTTCCCTCTGTTCTGAGTGCTGCTTTCTTAGGCCACCATCCTCCTCCACAAGAATTTCTTCAACTGTTCCCCTGTCTTCTTGACTTTTGTTCCTCTCCAATCTGTTCTCCACACTGTTGCCACAGTTTTTTTTTTTTTTTAATGCTAATTTTACTATGGTACTGCTTGCTTAAAATGTCTTCAGTGGTTTCCCTTCATCTTCAAGATAAAGTGTAAATTTCTTGATTCTTATTTTAAAAAGGTCCTTCCTAAGACCCTGGCTGTGCCTCTGTCATCTCATTTTCCCTTCACATCATGTTTTCCAGCCATGTAGAATTACTTGCAGTTCTCTGCAAATGGTGCCGTCGAACTCTTTTGAGTCTTTATATGTTCTGTGCCTCTTTCCTGCAATGTTTTTGCCCACATAACTCAACATCTCTAGGTTCAGTTCAGATTCCACCTTTTTCAGGAATTATTTCCCCTGATACTGCATCTTCCCCTGCCGTTTGGCTCATTATCTCCTCTGTGTGTCCCTGCAGCATTCAGTTAAAAACCCTATCATATAACTTATCACATGACATTGCGATTGAGTGTTGAATTTCTTTTTTTTTTTTTCAATATATATTTTCTTGCACTTTAGGTTCTGGGGTAAATGTGCAGAACGTGCAGGATTGTTGCATAGGCATATACATGGCAATGTGGTTTGCTGCCTCCATCCCCTCATCACCTATATCTGGTATTTCTCTCCATGTTATGACTCCCCAACCTCCCTACCCTCTGCTGTCCTTCCCCTATTCCCCCCACAGCAGACCCCAGTGTGTGATGCTCTGCTCCCTGTGTCCATGTGTTCTCATTGCTCAATACCCACCTATGAGTGAGAACATGCGGTGTTTGGTTTTCTGCTCTTATGTCAGTTTGCTGAGAATGATGGTTTCCAGATTCATCCATGTCCCTACAAAGGACACAAACTCATAGTTTTTTTGTGGCTGTATAGTATTCCATGGTGTATATGTGCCACCTTTTCCTTGTCCAGTCTATCATCAATGGATATTTGGGCTGGTTCCAGGTCTTTGCTATTGTAAACAGTGCTGCAATGAACAAGCATTTGCATGTGTCTTTATAATAATCCTTTGGATATTTACCGAGTAATGGGATTGCTGGGTCAAATGGAATTTCTGTTTCTAGGTCCTTGAGGAATCATCACACTGTCTTCCGCAATGGTTGATTGAACTAATTTACACTCCCACCAACAGTGTAAAAACATTCCTATTTCTCCACATCCTCTCCCGCATCTGTTGTCTCAAGATTTTTTTAATGATCGCCATTCTAACTGGTGTGAGATGGTATCTCAATGTGGTTTTGATTTGCATTTCTCTAATGCCAGTAATGAGCATTTTTTCATATGTTTGTTGGCCACATAAATGTCGTCTTTTGAAAAGTGTCTGTTAATATCCTTCACCCACTTTTGAATGGGGTTGTTTGTTTTTCTCTTGTAAATCTGTTTCAGTTCTTTGTAGATTCTGTATATTAGCCCTTTGTCAGATGCGTAGATTGCAAAATTTTTTTTCCCATTCTGTTGGTTGCCAGTTCACACTAATGATGGTTTCTTTTGCTGTTCAGAAGCTCTGGAGTTTAATTAAATCACATTTGTCTATTTTGCCTTTTGTTGCCAATGCTTTTGGTGTTTTAGTTATGAAGTCTTTGCCTGTGCCTATATCCTAAATGGTTTTGCCTAGGTTTTCTTCTAGGATTTTTATGGTGTTAGGTCTTATGTTTAAGTCATTAATCCACCTGGAGTTCATTTGAGTATAAGGTGTCAGGAAGGGGTCCAGTTTCTGCTTTCTGCACATGGCTAGCCAGTTTTCCCAACACCATTTATCAAACAGGGAATTCTTTCCCCATTGCTTGTTTTTGTCAGGTTTGTCAAAGATCAGATGGTTGTAGGTGTGTGGTGTTGCCATCGAGGCCTCTGTTCTGTTCCATTGGTCTATATCTCTGTTTTGGTACCAGTACCATGCTGTTTTGATACTGTAGCCCTGTAGTATAGTTTGAATTCAGGTAGGGTGATGCCTCCAGCTTTGTTCTTTTTACTTAGAATTGTCTTGGCTATGCGGGATTTCTTTTGGTTCCGTATGAAGCTTAAGGTGGTTTTTTTCCAGTTCTGTGAAGAGGGTCATAGGTAGCTACATGGGGATAGCGTTGAATCTATAAATTACTTTGGGCAGTATGGCCATTTTCACAATATTGATTCTTCCTAACCATGAGCATGGAATGTTTTTCCATCTGTTTGTGTCCACTCTTGTTTCCTTGAGCAGTGGTGTATAGTTCTCCTTGAAGAGGTTCTTTACATCCTTTGTTAGTTGTATTCCTAGGTATTTTATTCTCTTTGTAGCAATTGTGAATGGCAGTTTGCTCTTGATTTGGCTCTCTTTAAGTTTGTTATTGGTGTATAGGAATGCTTGTGATTTCTGCACATTAATTTTGTATCTTCAGACTTTGCTGAAGTTGCTTATAAGTTTCAGGAGATTTTGGGCTGAGATGATGGCGTCTTCTAAATATACAATCATGTCATCTGCAAATAGAGACAATTTGACTTCCTCCTTTCCTAATTGAATACTCTTCATTTCTTTTTCTTTCTAGATTTATCTGGATAGAACTTCCAATACTATATTGAATAGGAGTGGTGAGAGAGGGCATCCTTGTCTAGTGCCATATTTCAAAGGGAGTGCTTCCAGTTTTTGCCCATTCAGTATGATATTGGCTATGGGTTTGTCATAAATAGCTTTCATGATTTTGAGATACGTTCCATTGATACCTAGTTTATTGAGAATTTTTAGCATAAAGGGCTGTTGAATTTTGTCAAAGGCCTTCTCTGCATCTATTGAGATAATCGTGGTTTTTTTGTCTATGGTTCTGTTTATGTGTTGGATTACATTTATAGACTTGCGTTTGTTTAACCAGCCTTGCATCCCCTGAATGAAGCCTACTTGATTGTGATGGATAAGCTTTTTGTTGTGCTGTTGCAGTGGGTTTGCCAGTATTTTATTGAAGATTTTTACATCTATGTTCATCATGGATATTGGCCTGAAGTTTTCTTTTCATGTTGAGTCTCTGCCAGGTTTTGGTATCAGGATGATGTTGATCTTATGATTTGGGAAGGATTTCCTCTTTTTGTATTGTTTGGAATAGTTTCAGAGGGAGTGGTATCAGCTCCTCTTTGTATGTCTGGTAGAATTCGGCTGTAAACCCATCTGGGCCTGGGCTTTTTTTGGTTGGTAGGCTATTAATTGCTGCCTCAACTTCAGCCCTTGTTATTGGTCTGTTCAGGGTTTCAAATTCTTCCTGGTTTAGGCTTGGGAGGGTGCAAGTGTCCAGGAATTTATCCATTTCTTTCTTCCAGGTTTACTTTTTTTGTGTACAAGACTTGCTTGTAGTAATCTCTGATGGTAGTTTGTATTTCTGTGGAATAGGTGGTGATATCCCCTTTATTGTTTTTTGAGTGTTGAATTTCTAAGTGTCTTTCTAGGGGGCCATATATTTGGATGAGGATACCTGGTTTCTCCGTTCTTGAATCTGGGCCAGCCATTGCAGTCACTCTACGCATTGTACACTCTTGTGTACTTTTTGAGTGCTTTGGCAGGCATAGTAGATCATTCCTTGTAACTCTTCAGAAAATCAGCCTGCTAGTCATCAATGGTGCTGTTGCTTTGGTCACAGCTGATGTATCCAGAAAATATCTACACTTGTTGTCCAAGAGCAAAATCTCAGAAAAACCTGAAGATGACAAGGAATGGAACACATTGAACAATTGTTCATCAGTGATGTTGACATTTCAAAGGTTCAGAGTAGAAGACTCACTATGCCTCTTAGGAACCTGGGAAAAGCCCCTTGGAGGCTACTTGGTATACAGGTAGCACCCATTTCATGTTCCTTGCCAGCAGAAGTGATTGTTAGTCCATGTGTCAAAGTAAAAGTTTGGAAACGAATATCAGCAGCCACAGATCGTACATGGTTTGTGGTAGCCACACTGTGTGTTGTGCACATGAGCCTGAGATACTCCTCAGGGTCACATTGGAGCCAATCTTGTGATATCTGGTACCCGGCTGATATCCTGGTCACAATGAAAGTGTATTCATTCTGGGAGGTCAGCCAATCCTGTCCTACCCACGGCACCTAGTACTCATGATAGGAATGTGGTATTAGGTCATCATGCTTTGGAAGCTCTGTCCCACCCTCTACCCATCCTGTCCACAGAAAAAAATGTGATTATAAACATATCCCTTTATCTTTACCTGTCTGCTTGTTTCTCTGTTTATGTTGTTTATCCACTTCATTTCTTCATTTAAGCAGTGTCTATTGAACACTTACTGTGAGTAATAAAACTGTATTCATGGTGTG